GCTTGATAAATATTTTAATAACCATTATACCATTTAATTGCAATGTTACCACATCTATATATATTTATAATGTATTCAGTTATTAACCCTATTTTTTTTATTTTATTTTATTTTCTACACAGGGAAGGAAGAAATGCCTTTGTGACATCGATATCTTTATTTAAATACCTGATTATGTATACAATGATTGAGCTTGTTTGCATGCTGCTTCTTTTTTGGGTATGTACTGTAAATCTGTATATTTATATAATTCAGATTATTCATCTGTATATTTATACAATTTCGATTTTTTTAGTCTGGTGTTAATTAACAGAAACTTGCACCATTGCACAAATTGTTACTTGAATTCACCTTTAGCAGATTTTGTATTACATGCCTTGTGAAAAAGGACATCGATTATTAGATTGCGATCATGACATTATACTGAATCTATTGACAGATTACACTATATAAAGTTTGGCTTTTATATATAATCAATAAATTTTATTATGAAAAGCCTGCACAATGTTGATAATTTAATTACCATCAGGAAAAAGAGTACAGAATTTTGATAATACCTAACACGTTGTGTGCCATGATGAGTTAAAGAAACCCGAACCATTCTATTAAAATTCCAAGAGAAACAAATCAGTGACAGCGAAGCTAATTTATTGTCTTTTCTTCTCTTAGAAACAAACACTCCTTGGAAATTATCATTACCTTATGCAAGACATGGCGATAACTGTCATAGTTATGCTAACAAGTAGGTTTGCCTAATTAAAATGTTATTTATCTGAAAAATATATTATGTATACATTGTAACCTCTTTACTACCAGAATCAAGTATACACATTTGTGTTTTCGGGTATTTTGCTGAATTAGATTTAATTCATAAAGCCTCACTTTCATTTATACCATAGGGATGATCTCTTCCAGAAGCCAGTAGTCACTGATATAATGCCAGAACGTTTTATGGCAATGTCAGCTAACCTCTTGCTTCCAAACAGTAAATAAAGTTTCAATAGGACTCCTTACTTCTACAGTCAAAGAGGGGAAATGACTGAATAGACTCTACACATGTTAACATTACATGAGCATTCCAGAGATTGCTAAAGGAATTTTAAATATCTTTATTTTTTCAAATATATGATTTAATTGTTTTTACTGTATGTGGGAATTATTCTGAAATGCAGACATTCTTTTTACTTCTGTTGTCAGTTTTAGTATCCTGTACTCAGCAGTGGGATTCAAAATTTTTAATAACCAGTTCAGACTTTTCATGTTTTAAACTCCACAGGGGTAGCCCAAAACATTGTGCTGCCTGGGTCGAAAACTCCATCTCCCCCTCCCCCAGCCACACACACGCATGCACACACACGCACATGCACATCGACACAGTCACACATATATACCATGGGGGGAAAGGGAATGCTACTAATGCATTAAATGCATAAACCTTGTATCTCAAGCCAATATACAGTAAATTCATAAACCTTGTATATCATGCCAATGAGCAGTAAATATAAAACATAGGTATACCATGCTAATGAGCAATACATACATAAGCTTGATATATCATGCCAATGGCATGTGAATTCATAAATCTGGTATATCAAGCCAATGGAAAGTAAATGCTGAAACCTGGCCATAAATATCTCTATTCCACTAGCCTCTTTGTGCCATCTCTCTGCTTCCAATGAGGGTGTCAGTGTGTGGGGGATGGTGACAGTGTGTGGGGGATGGTGACAGTGTGTGTGGGATGATCACAGTGTGTGGTGGGTGATAGTGTGGATGGTGGCAGTGTGTGTAGAGGGTGATAGTGTATGTGGTATGGTGATAGTGAGTGTGGGTGATATTCCGCCTTCCAACCATGTCTCTGATCCCCTCCCTTCAAACCTTGTCTCTGTTCCCCTCCCTTCCATCCATGTGTCCCTCCCCTTTCCATGTCTCTCCCCCATGTCTCTCTCTCCCTTCCATCCATTTCCTGCTACCCTTTCCGTCCATGTCTCTTCCACCTTCCACCCATATCCCTTTACACTTTCCATACATGTCTCTCCCCCCTCCCCTCCATGTCCCCTATATATGTCTCTCCCATCTTCCATCATGTCTCTCTTCCTCTTCTATCCATGTCTCTGTTCCCCTCCATTCCATCCATGTCTCCCTCCCCCTTCAATGTCTCTTCCCCCATGTCACCTTGTACCTTCCATTCATGTCCCACTACTCCTTCTGTCCATGTCTCAGCCCCCTTCCATCCATGTCCCTCTACACTTCCCATCTATGTCTCTCCCTCCTCCCCTCTATGTCCCTCTACCCCTTTCATCCTTGTCTCTCCACTCTTCCAATGATGTCCCTCTTCCATCCATGCCCCCCTTCCCTCCATTTCCTGCTATTGATTACATCCATGTCTCTCCCCCCTTCCATCCATGTCCCCTTACCCTTTCCATCCATGTCTCTCCCAACTCCCCTCCATGTCCCCTTACCTCTTCCAGCCATGTCCCCATCCACTCCATCTCCTCTTACCCCTAGCAGCCATGCCTCTCTCCCCACCATGTCATCCTGTCCTTTTTATCCTTGTCTTTTCCCTAAACCTCCATGTCCCCTTACCCCTTCCATCCATGCCCCCCTATCCCTCTCCTCCATGTTTGCTTACCCATTGCATCCATGTCCCCACTCCATGTCCCTTTACCCATGTCTCTCTGTCCCTCCCTTCCATGTCCTACTACACCTTCCACCCATATCCCTTTATCAATTCCACCCATGTCTCCCCACCTTTTCCATCCATGCCCTCCTCCATGTCCCCATTCCAGTTCCATCCTCTCCGTGTCCCCCTACACTTCCATCTATGTCTCCCTCACATCCATGTGTCTCTCTCTCCCTCCTTCCCCAATTGGCAGGCAGCCTGTTTCCTCACAGAGCCAGTGCCCTAGGTAAAGGTAGAGCAGACTCTGACACTCAATGATACATGCCCTCTCCCTCAGTGGTGTATCCTGGTTTTGTGCTGCCCTAGGCAGGACAAAACTCAGGTGCCCCCCTCCCCCCGCACCACCCCCACCCAACCCTTCCCCCCCGCCCCACCTTCTAAATACACACACACACACACAGTCAGACACAAACACACACACACAGTCAGACACAAACACACACACACACACAGTCAGACACAAATACACACACACAGACACATACACACACACACAGTCAGACACATACACACACACACACAGTCAGACACATACACACACACACACACAGTCAGACGCATACACACACACAGTCAGACACATACACAGACACAAACACACACACAGTCACAAACACAGTCACAAACACACACACAGTCAGACACAAACACACACACACAGTCAGACACAAACACACACACACACAGTCAGACACAAACACCATCAGACACAAACACACACAAACACACACAGACACACAGTCAGACACAAACACACACACACACAGTCAAACACACACACACACAGTCAGACACACACACAATTACTCACATTAACTTTTTTTTCAATTTAAACCCCCCCCCCCGCCTCCTTACCTTTGGGAGTGCTGGGGGGTCTCTCTTTGTCCCTGGTGGTCCAGTGGCTGCCGGTCGGGCTGGGCAGCGCTGGCTGCTGGGCGGGCGGCGCTGGCGAGGGAGCACTTCCTCTGAGCTGTCTGCTCAGCTCCCTCGCGCGCCGCAGAGTGAGGCTGGGAGCCGGAATATGACTTCATCTTCCGGCTCCCAGCCTCACTCTGCGGCGCGCGAGGGAGCTGAGCAGACCGTTCAGAGGAAGTGCTCCCTCGCCAGCCGCCCGCACAGCAGCCAGCGCCGCCCAGCCCGACCGGCATGTCTGTTAGCCGCGAGGCTAACAAGGCATTTGCGCTGGGCATTTGGGGGCGGCGTTTTTTTGCCGCCCCCTGAAAAATGCCGCCCAAGGCAAATGCCTTGTTAGTCTCGCGGCTAATACGTCCCTGCTCTCCCTTCTGTTTTACCTGTCATGGCAAGGGAGGAGGGCTTATTGCTGTCCGGATGCTACCAGGGGACGCAGGCTGAGGGGAGTGCAAAATTCACTTGTCAGTCTGACAACTTACTTTTGCAACCATGGCAGGGCCGGTTTCCCTAATGATTTGGTGAATTTGTTAAATGTTAGTAACAGGTACATTCGAACCGACTGAAACCTGCCACTGACTGTACTGCCTTTATGGTCCTTACAAATACCCTTAAGGAAGATATTTGACCATTTTCATTTAGTAATCTTTTTGTCACACTTGCTGTAGTTGAAAATTTTACTTTTGCTTTTATACTAACATTGCATGCTCTGTGTGAAATATTGAAAGAAAAAAACAACACTGTATACACAAGTTTTTCATTTCCAAAATATTTTTATCAAGGTCATATGAATTAGTGACAAATTGTCTAGAAACCAATCTATACACAAAATTGCTGTTGTACAATATATTTATATGCTAGCTATGCATCACTTGCTTCAAATAAATTAGATTTTTTTTTTTTTTCAATCAGAAGTGCTTGGTAAGGTAGAAACATAGAAACATAGAATGTGACGGCAGATAAGAACCATTCGGCCCATCTAGTCTGCCCAATTTTCTAAATACTTTCATTAGTCCCTATCCTTATCTTATAGTTAGGATAGCCTTATGCCTATCCCATGCATGCTTAAACTCCTTTATTGTGTTAACCTCTACCACTTCAGCTGGAAGGCTATTCCATGCATCCACTACCCTCTCAGTAAAGTAATACTTCCTGATATTTTTAAACCTTTGTCCCTCTAATTTAAGACCATATCCTCTTGTTGTGGTAGTTTTTCTTCTTTTAAATATAGTCTCCTCCTTTAGTGTGTTGATTCCCTTTATATATTTAAATGTTTCTATCATATCCCCCCGTCTCGTCTTTCCTCCGAGCTATACATGTTAAGATTAGAGATGTCGCGAACCGTCCCCGAACTTCTCGCGAACGGTTCGCCGCGGTTCGCCACGAGCTGTTCGGGGCGAACTCCGGTCAGCTGACACGTCCCGGCCAATCTCCAGCAGACCCTCCCTCCCAGACCCTCCTACTTCCTGGACAGCATCCATGTTTCAACATGTTTCAACATGGATGCTGTCCAGGAAGTAGGAGGGTCTGGGAGGGAGGGTCTGCTGGAGATTGACCGGGACGTGTCAGCTGACCGCAGTTCGCCGTGAACAGCTCGTGGCGAACCGTTCGCGAGAAGTTCGCGGACGGTTCGCGACATCTCTAGTTAAGATCCTTTAACCTTTCCTGGTAAGTTTTATCCCGCAATCCATGAACTAGTTTAGTAGCCCTTCTCTGAACCCTCTCTAAGTGTTCTGTACAATGGCGTGAGCACTTCCCTCTTTTTACTGCTAATACCTCTCCCTATACAACCAAGCATTCTGCTAGCATTTCCTGCTGCTCTATTACATTGTCTGCCTACCCTTAAGTCATCAGAAATAATCCCTTTCCTCATATGTTGAGGTTAGGGCTCTATCAAATATTCTGTACTCTGCCCTTGGGTTTTTACGTCCAAGATGCATTATCTTGCACTTATCCACATTAAATGTCAGTTGCCACAATTATGACCATTTTTCTAGTTTACCTAAATCATTTGCCATTTGGCTTATCCCTCCTGGAACATCAACCCTGTTACATATCTTAGTATCATCAGCAAAAAGACATGCCTTACCATCAAGACCTCCTGCAATATCACTAATAAAAATATTAAAGAGAATGGGTCCAAGTACAGATCCCTGAGGTACCCCACTGGTGACAAGTCCAAGCTTCGAATATATTCCATTAACTACAACTCTCTGTTGCCTGTCACTCAGCCACTGCCTTACCCATTCAACAATATTGGAATCCAAACTTAAAGATTGCAGTTTTTTGATAAGCCTTCTATGTGCAACAGTGTCAGTTTTTTGATAAGCCTTCTATGTGCAACAGTGTCAAAAGCCTTACTGAAATCTAGATAAGCAATGTCTACTGCACCACCCTGATCTATAATTTTAGTTACCCAATCAAAAAAATCAATCAGATTAGTTTGTCATGATCTCCCTGAAGTAAACCCATGTTGTCTCTGATCTTGAAATCCATGTGTTTTTTAGATGTTCAACAATCCTATCCTTTAACATGGTTTCCATCACTTTCCCCACTGCTGAAGTAAGGCTTACTGGCCTATAGTTGCCCAACTCCTCCCTATTACCTTTCTTGTAAATGGGCACAACATTCGCTAACTTCCAATCTTCTGGGACTACTCCTGTTAACAATGATTGGTTAAATAAATCTGTTAATGGTTTTGCTAGTACACCACTAAGCTCTTTTAATAGCTTTGGGTGTATTCCATCAGGTCCCATTAACTTATTTGTCAATGGGAGGTGTAGGTTAAGCAGGATTTAGATACTATTTTTTTAATTCATGGGGCCAACTGAGGAGACCACATAAACATTTCAGTTTTTACTATTATTATTTATACAGCACCAACAAATTCTGCAGCGCTGTACAATGGGTGGATTAACAAACATGTAATTGTAAACAGACGAGTTGGACGCACAGGAACAGAGGGGTTGAAGGCCCTGCTAAATGAGCTTACATGATAGAGGGAGTAGAGTAAAGTGATACAAACGTTAAGGGTAGAAAAGTAGATTGGTAGAATAATATTCACTGAAAACGTAGTGTGTTTCAGGATGCAGGGTGGGGGGAGGAAGTTATTAACAGTTTAATTCATACACTTTCATGAAGAAGTGAGTTTTTATTGCTTTTTTAAAGGAGTGGAGTTTGGGTGAGCATCTAACGGAGAAGGGAATGTAGTTCCATTGGAACAGTGCAGTCATAGAGAAGCCTTGCAGGTAAGCATTAGAAGTGAAAGTATGAACAGAGGATAGACATAGGTCTTCGGGTGAGCGTAGGGGCCTAGACGAGACATACTTGTGTATTAGGGAGGATAGATAGATTGGAGCAACATTATGTAAGCAAGAACCATAACTTTAAATTGAGCCCTATATCTTGCAGGAAGCCAATGCATGGACTTACAGAGGGGTGTGGCGCTGGAGGTGCGGGTGGACATGAAGATTAGCCTCTTTGCCGCATTCATTATAGACTGTAATGGGGCAATTTGGGAGCATATAAGGCCACTGAAAAGCGGATTGCAGTAGTCAAGGCAAGAGAGCATAGTGGCATGAACCAGCACCTTATCTGAGTCTGGCCTTAAGTAGTGGCGGGTGCACGCAATGTTTTTAAGATGGAAGTGGGTGAAGGAGATGTCAGAGTCAAAGAGACACCTAGGCAGTAAGCCTGCATGGTGGAGCTGATGGTAGCGCCTCTAATGCGGAGGAGAAAGAAACAGGAGTAGCAACACTTGAGGGAGGAAAGACCAGAAGTTCTGTTTTGCACGGGGTGAGTTTAAGGAAGTGGGCAGCCATCCAGTTAGAAATAGCAGAGAGGCAGTCATGGACACGAGTCAAGAGGGGATGGGGGGAGATCAGGAGAGGACAGATAGATTTGCATGTAATCCACATAGAAATTATATTGGAGCCAAAGGATCTGATGAGTTTATCAAGGGAAGCAGTATAGATAGAGCACAGTAGGGAACCAAGGACTGAACCTTGGGGAACACCAACAGAGAGGGGTTAGGGAGAAGAGTCAGAGTCAGATAAAGAAATACTGAAAGAGCACTGGAAGAGGTAGGAGGAGCACCAGGAGAGAGCAATATCTCATAGATCAAGATTACAGAGTATGAGAAGAAACTGTTGATGATCAACAGTGTCAAAAGCAGCAGAAAGTTCAAGGAGAATTAGGATAGAATAGTGACAATGAGATTTTGCAGCAAGTATATCATTGGATACTTTGGCCATAGCCATTTCTACAGACTAATGAGTGTGGAAATCAGACTGAAGCAGGCGGAGCAGAGAGTTGGATTCAAGGAATTCTGTCTTGCGTACAAAATGCTTTCAATGATATAACCAGCACAAAGCACAGCGGTCCACACACATGGGAAAATCCAAACACTTCACAAATGAAAAAAAGGTCATGAAAAAGTAGCACATTTATTGAAAAAAGTAATATAAATAAATCCACATGGCATCACACTGTAACAGCAGTCATTGTGTATCCTAAGGTAGTTCCAATATCATATGTACAAAATAGTATCAAGTGTGTAAAATAACACAGTAACGAAAAAAAAAAATATATATATATATATATATATATATATATATATATATATATATATATATATATATATATATATATATATATATATATATATAAATATCGAATGAATGAGCTATCCGCAGCTACTGTTCGGGGGGAGACCACCTAAGAAGACAACCCAGAAAATGGTAAGTGATGCCCTAGACGCGTTTCACACCCCACCTGGTGCTTTCTTAACATCTCTTTCAAGGATTGTGGATGCAAAAGGCAGCAGCGAGATAGGGCGGATTTGGATGGGGAGTTAGGGTCAAGGTTGCGCTTTTTTCGAGTTGGGATTACAGTTGAATGCCAGAGGACAGAAAGAGAATAAGAATTTTAGTGAGAGTCATCGAAAGAGAAGGAGACAGAGTATTGATGAGATGTGAGGGAATCTCATCAAGGGAGCAGGTGGTGGGACAGGAGGAGCAGAAACCTTTGGTTGCAGTGGGTGTGAATGAACATAGAACAGCAGAGGGAGTGGGGTGGGGGAAGTATTGTTAGGGGAAGGAGAACGATGAAAGATCCCTTCCCTGATTGTACAGATCTTCTCAGTGAAATGACTTGCAAAGTTTGTAGTGGTCAAGTAGGTAGAAGGAGGAGGAGCAAGAGGGCAAAGAAGAGAGTTAAAAGTGTGAAACAAGCATATGGGTTAGCAGGAGAGTGTGGTTATGAGGGTCTTGGAAGTAATGCAATGTTACTTTTGCAGAGGAAAGATCTGAGGTGTAGGAGTGCAGCACAAATTTATAGTGCAGAAAGTCAGAAATGGAGTGTCTACAGCAGCGTGCAGCATTTCTAGAACATTTTTGAAGGTATCAGGTCAGCTTGGTGTGCCCAGGTTGCAGTTGTCAGCGCTTGCTGTGTTTAATTGTATTGGGTGCCATGATATCTAGTTAAGAAGAGAGGGTGGAATTGTAGAATGAGGTTATAGAGCAAGGACAGGTGATGTTTCAGATAATTAGAAGGAGAGTTTGGAGGTTGGTGGGGAATTGCTCTATGTCAAGACAGTGGAGTTTTCTGTGAGATTGATGTGCCAAGGGTGGTGTAATTTGGGTACTGGGTCAAAAGTCAGCAGATGGTGGTCAGATAGAGAAAAATAAACATTAGAGAAATTAGAGATGGTACAGAGATTGGTGAAGGTGAAATCAAGAGTATTTCCCACTGTGTGGGTTGCATGAGGCCAAAAGAGCAGGTTACAGAGAGTAGATGAGAGGCAACAGTACAGTTGGGGTTGTTGATTGTGATATTTAATTCCCCAAGTATGAGGGAAGGAGCGCTAGAGGAGAGGAAGTTGGGTTGTCAGGAAGAAAAGTGCCTATTGAATAGCCTAGGATGACGTGGTGGCAGTAGATGATGGTAGTTGACTCATGACCATCGTGTCTTATTGGGTATTTATCTGGTTTTCCCATTGGCCAATCTAAACCTGTCTGGTAGGCTCAATATTTTCTAGTTGTCCATGATTTAGAATGAAAATGCACAGCATTCTAAAATAATGCATAAGAATGCATTACATATAAGACACAGCCTTTTCCCAGAACATATACTCTCTTCAAAGTCTTGAAAAAGCACTCTTAAAAAAGCACAAACAAATGAAAAGAAACTTGCCTCATATATACTGATGCTGCTACACTTTTTAATTCTTCCACACTGCTGTCAGTTACATCGAGAAAGTATAGCATTCGGTGAACAGAATAATTATTCTCACTCCAGACCGATGTTAAAAGAGTACAACTTGAGACTTGAGAAATCACGTGACTTGTGCTCTGCGAGAAGTATTGGTTCTGACACATCTTTTTTTATAGATAGAAAATGTATAATCGCGGCCAAATGTTGATTTGATAACCAAATCAGAAGAGCAAACACAAAATGCGCGAACATAAACCATAATGTTATTTATATATATTCTGCAGCACATTGATAGGAGCTAGAACCTTGCCATCAGATCAAGTGAGAAAAATTAACCAAGAGAGGAAAAAAGAGTAG